TAAATTAATTTACAAGTAACAGTAAAATTAATCTATTTTTTATTTTACATAAAGTTCCATTTTTTACGTAGAATTTTCGAATTCGCGAGATTTTCTTGTCAGAGGTAGTAACAGTCGCCAATCGAAACACTCGAAATTTTGAAACTTTATGATCAATGGAGCGGTAATACTCGCGAATATCAAGATACCTTTGATCCAGCGCCTCAAGATATGCGAACACACATCAATGACGCGGAGTGTGTGCACGCATAACTAAGCCGAGTTTATCGACATTACATACACACAATCCGTGACGTCGACAGCAGCAGCGGCGGCGGCGGCGGCGGCGGCGGCGGTATCGCGCTTGATACTCTCTCTATCTCTCTCTTTCTTTCTTATTCTCTCCGTGATTCGTGATGACGTCAATGGATCGCGAGCCAGACAGCAAATTAACGCGCTCCACGTCATTGCCTGGCCCCCGTGGTCGCGTGCGTATTTGCTCGTTCGCTCGTTCCGCGACAAGCTTCGTATTTCGCGCGCTACGAAGCAGCGGCGAGCAACGACGTGACGTCATAGGTCGAAGTCATGGGACGACAACGCGCGCGCAGAGAGGTAAATGACCTCGTGGACTGAGTTCAATACACCGCGGCGACCACACAGAAAGAGAAAGACAGAGATATGGGCTGCGAAAGAGACAGAAGAAGAGAGAGAAAGAAAGAATGAGAGAAAGAGAGAGAGAGAGAGAAAGAGAGAAACCACGACGGTGAGTTCCTTCGTCGTTATTTGTAATGTTTCGCTTCTGTCTTCCTTCCCGTGTGGAAGAAAGGAATCTCTCCTCCTCTCTTCTCTTGCGCTTATCGTCTTCTTTTTTACTCCGCGTTACGCACGAAGTGTGGCACCTTGCAACGAGGGATGAGAGCACTTTAATGAACTCTCTTTAAATTTCTCAGAGCGATTCTCTCTCTCTCTCTCTCTCTCCGAATAAATGAAAATTCATTTTCTTTGTGTTAATGAAAATACTCCGAATCGAAGTATCAGTATTTTAACTGTCGTGGCGTGATTTTTCATTCGTTCGGAGCAAGGTTTGTTCCGAGAAGTTTAGGAAGAAGTTCCTTCGTGAAAATCATTAAAATACGCGATTTTAAAACGCGGTTTTTCCCAGTGTTGAAGCACAAAAAGACCGCTTTGTTATCTTTCAACGTTTAACATTTCAGGAATTAATCTTGCGCAGAAGTGAAATTAACTCGTAAAAAAAGCCACTTCGTAATTCTTACATTAGCGTAATTAAGCGAGTGGTTGCGAAGCTGCGGAATGGCGGTATAAGCGGTATTAATTTAAATCTGTTGCAGAGCAGCCGACAGCTCTCTCCGGAGAGAAAGAGAGAAAGAAAGAGAAAAAAAAGGAGAGAGGAAAACGAAAAATCACAAATTTCGCGTGTGTATTTTAGTTACAGAGCTCTGATGGTTTGCAGAAACTTTTGTTGTCTCCTTCTTGAAACACAGTCGTGTTTATTTCTCGCGATGGTTTCAAATACCGCTTGAGTTTTAAATACCGAAGAATTTAATTTTTTCTATAGAGCGCAATTTTAATTTCCAAATCCGGCAAGTGTATTTTATTACTTCGAAGCACGCGAACGTTATAGATTATTTATTAGATATCTCTTGGTTTTTTTTATTTTCAAGACACACGTACACGTCGCGATAAGGAAAACTCTTCAAGCCGTAGATTTGCATTCAATGTTAGCTTAGGTAATCAGCAACTAGGTTGACTTAGAAGATTGTCTATGTATAGAATAATAGTTTATTTATAATTTCCGTGCGTAAATAATCATCGATATTAGATCAGACAATTTGCGTTATCTTCAGTCGATTATTTTATCGTTGTTTATTACACGATTGAAGAAAAAAGATACGAGAGAGGGGATAAATAAATAATTTTTCATCTGTACATAAATGTTTAAATTTCTTGCGCACAACATTAACGAGTATTTTTTGTACGGCGTGACACGTCGGTTCGCAACTCTTCGGTAATTGATTCGCTCGTGATATGCGCGACACGCGCGGCAAGTGCACATTCTTTTTTTTTTCTGCTCAACGTAAAGTTCGTTACATTGCTATTCACGTTATTTATAGATTCGTGATTAGCGTAAGTTCGAAATGGAGTGACTGCACGTGCGTGTTTGCGCTCGCATTTTTTTTTTTTTATTTTTTTTTTTACATAATTAACCTTCGCACGCGCATACATTCGACGCTGAGTGCGCGCTTCTTACACACACAGGTATACGTTGCATATATACTCGCCGCTTACGCGATAACCGGCTTTTCTGGGATAACGGGTCCTCACGCGGCCGTCGCATTAATTCATAGCGAACGATGAATCGTTCTGTGTCCGAACAATCTATTTTTTTCGCACGCCGCATTGTCAAGCAATTCGTTTCCTGTTTTGCAAATGACGATTTCGATATTTTCCTCAGGTTTGACGCACATGTTTGTAAGAAAGATTTTCCTCAACCGCGCTTTGTTTGCGCATTACATGAATGTTGTTGCACTGTTTTTTTTTTCCTTCGCAAGATTTCCACACGCCAGAGTGTTTTGTAAGTCAAAGCGAGAGATCGAAAATAGCGGTGCTTTAAGCTTATCTTGGTGTGCGGTTTTGTGCGTAAATTGCTGTAAATTCGCGAGTTTGTAAATTTGCAGTTTTTACGATATTTCTATTATTTTTGTCTATTTTTAATCGTCGCGTGCCAATTTTCGAGACGCTCCTGGTCTCGATATCATGTTTTATGTTTTTATGCCACGTATGTTTTTTAAGCGAGAATTGTGTTATCCGAAGAAATATTTGTGCTACCGAAGAAAACAAAATACATTTGAATACTGGGGCACATTTAAATAACTGAAATGTTTCGCGCCACAATAGAAAGTTTTCAATATCGCCGAGAGAGCTTGGTGCATTACAATGCATATATATAATTCGTACGTTATTTAAATACGCTTTATGATGATAATCGAACAATCTATAAATATGTGTACACATGTAATTTTCTTCTCTCTCGCGAATAATAAAATGTCAAGTAGCAAAAACAAAAAAAAAAAAAAAAAAAAAACTATACGTACTTTTATATAGAATAAACCGACGCGAATTTATTTGCCATCAACTGGCAGTCGCGCCATCCAAGAGAAACAAAACCGGAAAATACCGTTGTGTGTATTTCGGTAACGACGGTTCCGGTAACAGGGGAAGAGAAGACGGAAAAGGGTCGAAGAAAGAATCTTAGAACCGCTGCAGAATTTTCGAGCGCCGTCTCTATCGCTGCAGGAGTAGAATTTAAACTCACACGCGCACCCATGCGCACAAACACAGAGTAGTTTCACGAGAGGAAGATTCAAAACGCCTTTTCCCCTTCTCCACGTGTGTATCAGACGTATAATCAGACGATACTCTCGTTAATAATAGGCTCGAATTCCACGTAGAAATTCCAATTCGCTCTTGATATCCTCCGCCTACATTGTCTACGCGCGCGTAGTCTATAAGAAATTTCTGGCAAAAACTTACCAGCCCATTTTGATCGATTATTTTTGGGGGAGACAAAGAGAGGAGAAAGATAAAATATAAAAATTAAATACACAATATATCAATACACATCTCAAGACTAATTTTTAATTGCGTGTAGTTTTTACTTGAAAACAAAATTACAAGCGTAGCCTTTTCTCATTAGTACCACGACTGTTACCATCTCCGACAAGAAAATCTCGCAAATTCGAAAATTCTACGTATAAATGGAACTTTATGTAAAATAAGAAATATATTAATTTCTCATCGAACATTTGTATTTATATTTTTTTGCGTGTTCTGTATGTGAAAAAAATCCCAAAGTTCGATACTAATGTTATAATTTTTTGACGGATACAAAAAATTGCGCTATATATTATTTCAAAATACAAGGATTTAAACCTGACCCGAATTACAGGCCACGATCCGTGCTCATAAGTTGCACGTCAAACTGTTATGGCTACAGGCGGTCTAATAGTCACCCTGCGAGCGGGTCAATTTCACGTCCTTGTATCCCCAAAAATCGCCATTCTCGAAACAAAAAACAAGAAAGAAGAAAGATTTTTTATCACGTGATTCTCCGGAAACTCTTTTGTCGCGCATACAATAAAACCAAAAAAAGAGCATCCTGTAGTTGAAAGAAAATATCTGTACTTTTGTGCGGAAAATTTTCAAGTTTTCGATTTAGGCACAAATTGTGTGTCGTTAAAATTCCAAAAAAAAAAAAGTGTCCCAGCATCATTTTTCGCGATGCATTCGCTGGCTCGCGTTGTGTTGCATCGCGAAGAGGGTGAAACGCCGCGCGTCGGGCGGTGGCTCGGCGACGAATGTCGCCGCGTGCTGCTCCAAAACAGGGCCGTTACGCATGCGCGTTTTTCCTCTTCGGCTCGCCGCCGTTCTCTGTTCGCGTATCAGCCCGCAGTGACGAGTCTCGCGGCGGAGGGAAGAGAGAGGCGAGAGACGCCTCCTAATCCCAACTTGCCCTACGCGCTCGGCCGCCAGCCCGCGTCAGTCGCGCGAGAGCCTTCAACGTGTGGAGGTATTTTATATACCCGCACAATCGCGGTGCCGCGTATCGCCGCGGTTCTCTCTCTTTCTCTCTTTCTCTTCTCCTCCCCCGCGTTTTTTCCCCAAACATTGTGTGGGACGAATAAAAAAAAAAAAAATGCATCACTGCCACTAGGGTGTAAAATAGTAAAATCGCCAACACTGCCCGACGGAGTTGTGGGTGCCGACGCGTGCCGATCGTATAATAGCGATTCCGCGATATATATATCGTGAAACGGTAAAGAGATCATCGTTCGGAGTGCACTTCACGTCTCGCAGCAGTAAGCAACGAGTGGACGCGAGTGCGCTCGTTCATACTGCAAAATACTCGTGCTTGGGCCCACGAGTACTGCCCGCTCGGTTCTCCCCGTGGTGTTTGCGTGTCTTTCTCTCTCTGTGCTGTGCTATTATAATAATACATATACACTGCCCGCGCGTATTCGCGCAACCCGCATAAACGGCACCCGACGAATGCGTTTTATCGGGGCCATGAGGCGTCACTGAACGTCTCAACAACGTCGTCGCGCGCGTTGGAGGAGGAAAGAGGAAGAGTGCTGCAAACCGCAACAGCAAAAGCAGACTTCAGCATCAGGAAGAGGACAAGAAGAGAACGGTGAGAGAAACGGTGAGAGAGGGAGAGGTGTGTGTGTGTGTGTGTGTGTTTGTGTGTATATGCGCGCGCGCGCTTTATCGGAGCGTATTGGAAAGAGGAAAAGCCGGAGACTAACACTCTCTCAGAAACTCAGGCGTATTGAAATTTAAACCAGCACTGCCGCCGCCACTGCCACCACTGTGTTGGGCGATTTAAATGGTGAGTGTGTGAAGGCAACGGCGCGTCTCCCCCTCTTTCCTCCCTCGAGTTTGTTCTCTCTCTCTCCGCGCTTAGCTCCTCGTTTATTACCGTCGCGCATCCCGCTGCAATCACACAGTCGTCGGACATTTTACTCCTACATAATGTATATATAGCTCCTTTTTTTTACAACCCCTCTCCCTCTTCTTTCTCCTGCTCGTTATCTTAGGACGGACCTGTGCGCGCGAATTTTTGGTTAGTGCTCCGATCGATGTTTCGGGGGACGACGCTTTCGTGTACGCCCTCGGCTCGCTTCCTCGCTCGTTCGTCCTTTGACCCTTTCACCGTGCAAGCGGCATGCGCGCAGGGCGCAACTCTTCTTACAGGGCTCCGGTCGCCAAGCGCCGAAATATCTAATCTTCCCGTCTCGTTCTGTCACGTATACCTACCACACTTTTATAAAGGATGCGGGACATCCCGTATCTATTCGCTTGAAAACGAAAGTGATATTCTTCGCGCCGCTTAATGACAAATTTATATGTTCCGAATATGTTGTATTTTTTATACGTAAAGCATAAAGTAATCTTTTCAATTTGGCTCAAATTTCATATTTTGCTGCGAACTGTTCGATCATACTTGTGACTGTACCTATCGTTGACAAACTCGAGGAGACTTTCTCTTTGTTTTTTTTTATTTGGATGTTCTAAATTTTGTTTATGGTTTTAGTTTTTTGTTTTTTATAATTAATTTTAAGAGTCGCGCGCGAGTGTATGTACATGTGTGTTTTAGCGCATTAATTTTTGTCAATTATTTCTGTCGTGACATAAATCTCATATATTTGGAGCGTGAGATTTTTAATTTTACACATGTATTATATATTATTTTGTATAAATAATTTTTGTGTGCACATCACACAAAGAGCGAGTGTTTTGATATTGTGAAAGCATTGGAAATAACGGAATTTTTTTACATTTATATACATAACCCTTTAGCGCAACCCTTGCACTACTGACCTTGTAATAATAAAATTCGTGTTGGATTTTTATCTTATTTCACGAACATTAAATTCGTGACTTGTGTGTATATTTGAATAACAATTCAGAAAAAGTCGTAATAGCGAATACGTTGTGAAGCGGGCACACGCGACAAAACACGCACGCACACGCGCAAAACTAATGTTTTAAACACACTCCGTTCTCGTTTGTCGTGCAAATTAAGTTAGGAAATCGGTGAAAAATTGAATGGGAAGAGGAACTAACTTTATATCTCTGATCCTCCAACCGTTTTGTAATTTTAGTCGCCATATAATCGATAGTTTTGTTTGCACATGTTGAAAACTTAAACACTATTCCTTTTTATAGTATTACACTTCTGTTATAATTACAAATTTAAAAACTGTCAAAGTTTTTTTTCCCAGGTTTTTGCTTTTTTCTACATAATATGAATCAAGTGACGTGTAAATTTATTTTATCGTAAATATCTTTTTAAGAAAAATGTATTATTTATGGCGATACACTTTAATTGAAAAGGACACGAAAGTAAGTTTGTCAAAGTGATAATATCTAACTATACTCAAAACAAGTACAGTGCCATTTCATTGCCGTGGCATTAATTACTATGTGCGTTTTGTTTTCAAGTATAATGCAACAAGTTGTGGAAGTATCGCACGTATTCTCGCTGATAACGCACGAATAAAGGTCGAAAACTATCGGCAACTGTCAATCATTTCGAAACGGCGGAGGTGCATATTAAGTCTTTTTTTTGTTTTTTGTTTTTTTGCGATTTGTTCGCTCGACTTTGAAATAATCAAGCAACATGTACAAACCAATGAGATAGCAATTGAAGAAAGCTCGGAAAAAAAAATATTTTTTATGTGTAAATAATTGTAGTTCTGATAAGTACGCGCGTTTAATTTAAAGCCGATCTCGCGTACCAACGTCGAAGGAGAAAACGATCGAAGCAATGCGCAAATCCCGCGGGAATAATACACGTGCAATTACTTTCATACAGAAGAGGAGGAGGAGGAGGAGGAGAAGAAGGAGGAGAATGAAGATACGTTTGTACTCAATTGGTAGTAATGCGCTCGCGCGCGTTCCGTCCGAAGCGAAGAGTCGAGGATGATACAGGTACTAAAGAGGAAAGCGAGGCAGTCGTTGACCTTATCCTCTCCGGCGTGATACACGTACACGTGCATACACAACACGCGCTGCGTTCAAATGTATTTTCGGCAAACATCTTATCGCTTGTGCATTATCGCGCAAAGCGGACGCAGATAAAATATAACATTTGTCGCGCTCCGAAATTGTATAAAATTTCACAAAAACAAGTGGAATGTTTTTTATTTATTCTTCTCTTTTTTTATTATACAAGAGAAAAAAGCTTGCGAAAACGTTACATTTCTCGTATAACATCATTATTATTTAGAAAAAATGATTTTTCTTTGTTGAGAAATTTTTTTTATTTAGTTTTTGCTGAGAAAAAGAAAAAGTAAATGTTCTACAAAAAAGCTCCGCGATAAGAAAGAAATTTGATAATTTTGTGACATTGTTGTTACGTGAACTTGAGGAAAACCGCTAAGCGGATCTCGCGATTTCTTGAACTCTCTCGCGGATAAAAACAATGAAAAATAAAATAAAAACAGCTCTCGCGTTGCTTATCTTCGCGAGCTGTGAACGCGCGCGAGAGACCCCGATCTTATCTCGATTTTATCAATTTTTCTCGTCCGCGTATACGCGTTTTCGCGTGGATAACCGACAGTTTCCGGCACGTTCGCGGAATGCTGTTCGCACTTAGTCATCGACTACAGTTAACTTCCTGCTCCGCCATCCTGTCCGATTGCGCGCGTGGCTGTTTCGCAGATGAGTGCCGTGAAACGTGCTCGCCTTTTCCGTAACTCACAAGAACTCGTTTTGTGCACACATGCGCAAGATCGGCAATTTCTGTAACTCGCAGTTGGTTTTTTCTTGTACCGATAATAATAACAAAAGACATTTAACACACCTACATAAGTAAAATAACCTTTCTCGAACTCATCATCTATTTATTCACGTTTTCCGCCATGGCGGTACCAACATGATGCAAAAGGTTAAAATAAAAATGAATCCTCGTTTCACATTAAAAAGAAAATACAAGTCGCGAAAATGAATTTTGCCTCGCAAAAAACACGGTGTAAGAACTTCGTGCCCGAGGGTCGTTATCGAACACGTTTTCGTGCAATTTATTAATTCTCGGGCACACATTCTCCCGCGCGCCTCGCTTTAATGCGCAAAGATGTGTGCTATAAAAGTAGGACGACCGAAAGTGAATCTCCCGGGCGCAGTCGCGCGACCCTGACTATTTCGCTGTCGTTCGCCTGTCGACACCGCACCACACACACGGGGGGAGGGGTTCCTGTGCATCCCGAGTCCCCGATAAAAGAGAATTCGACGAAGGTCCCGGAAACTGGTTCCGTGTCTCGCGTATGTTCGAGCAGCAGCGCACGTCGAAAAGAACGTGTACGGTACGAAGGACCCGTCTAACGTTTCTACGGGGTCTCCTCGAGTGAGCTCTATGTCGGCCACCTTCCTCCACACTTGCAAATTGCTTAGAAACGTCTTGTGCTCGTTTTTTCGTTCACGCAATTGTTCATATACTTCTGTTTTATTAAAACAGAAGTATTGTTGTTGCAGCTACGTCGGAGTTTATTTGTAATAAAAAACATCGGACACTGCGAATTTTTATAAAACGCTCGCGGCGTTTACGTTGTAAGCGCGCGATTCGCGTACGGATTTTATTTGTTCTCACGAAAACCACTTACAAATTCAATCACTGAATTGCAAACGCACACACGCGTTACTTACGATCTTTTCAAATCATTCGTGGAATTCGTTTGCGCACGATTCGTTCGGATTTTCACATTCAATCCACCTTTATCCATTTCGCGAACACCACTTGATTCATGAACAATAACAAGAAAAAAAAAAAGAAAATTCTCCTTGGCTGATCGTTGAATTTATAAGATATACGCTTAAGAAAAAAAAAAAATGAAGTTTTTTTTTATTCTTCTGAACAAGAACGCGAACCGAGCGACTGGTCGGTCGACAAAACTCGCACATTCTTAAACGTGAGGTTTTAGAAGTGAGTTTTCATGTCAGGTCTCAGGTCTGGCCCTTTTTTCCCCTCTGTCCTTTTCTCTCCCTCTCCCTTTATGTTTCTTTATGTCCTCTTCGTTTTCCTCTCGCTTTCTCTTTTTCGCACGCGACGGGCCCCGTGGAAGTGACCCTGAAAGTTCAACAGCCCTCCCTCCGATGGCGCTCTTCCCTCAGCCGTGTTGCACTCTCTTGCGCTTTCTCCCTTCCTCTTTTCCGCCCCGCCGTTCCTCTCACGCTTGTGCCGCTTCTTCCCTTTGTGTTGCTCGCCTGATGATACCTAACTTCGCTTAGACTGGCTCCGTCGCTACGCTACGTTGTGCGTGCGATTCCTTCGCTATGAGCGTACAGTTTCTAGAGCAAAAAAACTGCACAAATAAAAACCAATTTACACCGTACAACGATAAAAATATTATACTGAATTTTAATAACTTTTTATGAGACAGACATTACGTACGCGTGTGTGTGTGTATGTAATAATTCGAGTCGATTTAATTTGCACTTCGTTTCGTAAAATATTTATTTGAATCTTTGCGCTAATTAATCACATAATTTATTCTAAACGTTCACAGTTTGAATATTTTACTTCGGTAAACACCGTTTCTGTTTGGCACACCCGGTACAGGTGGCTTGTTCGATAACAGTCGGCTGATCGATATTCTTCGTGCTGTGCACACACTCGCGAGTATCGCATCT